GCTCGTTTGTCAATCCGCTTGTCGTGGCGAGGGTCACGGCGGCAGCGGGTTGAGTAGGGCGGTTCAGACCTCCCTTCACCTGGCGACAGACTCCAGCACAACATTACTATACACTATACACTACTATACTACTATACACTACTATACACTATACACAACTATACACTATACACTACTACACTATACTATATACTACTACATTACTATACACTATAAACTACTACACTACTATACACTACTACATTACTATACACTATACACAACTATACACTACTACATTACTATACACTACTATATTACTATATACTATACATTACTATACACTACTACACTATACTATATACTACTACATTACTATACACTATACACTACTATACACTACCACACTACTATACACTACCACACTATACACGACTACACTATACACTATTACATTACTATACACTATACACTACTACATTATTATACACGACTACATTACTATACACTACACACAACCACACTATACACTACTACACATTACTACACTATACACGACTACACTATACACTACTACATTACTATACACGACTATATTACTATACACTACCACACGACTACAATATACACTACCACACTACTACACTATACACGACTACACTATACACAACTACACTATACATTACTACACTATACACTACTACACTATACACTACTACACTATACACTACTACACTATACACTACTACACTATACACTACTATACACTACTACACTATACACTATACACTACTACACTATACACTACTACACTATACACTACACTATACACTACTACACTATACACTACTACACTATACACTACTACACTATACACTACACTATACACTACTACACTATACACTACTATACACTACTACACTATACACTACTATACACTACTACACTATACACTACTACACTACTACACTATACACTACTACACTACTACACTATACACTACTACAACTACACTACTACACTATACACTACTACACTACTACACTATACACTATACACTACTACACTATACACTACTACACTATACACTACTACACTATACACTACTACACTATACACTACTACACTATACACTACTACACTATACACTACTACACTATACACTACTACACTATACACTACTACATTATACACAACTACACTACACACTACTACACTATACACTACTACACTATACACTACTACACTATACACTACTACACTATACACTACTACACTATACACTACTACACTATACACTACTACACTATACACTACTACACTATACACTACTACACTCACACTACTACACTATACACTACTACACTATACACTACTACACTATACACTACTACACTATACACTACTACACTATACACTACTACATTATACACAACTACACTACACACTACTACACTATACACTACTACACTATACACTACTACACTATACACTACTACACTAACACTACACTATACACTACACTATACACTACACTATACACTACTACACTATACACTACTACACTATACACTACTACACTATACACTACTACACTATACACTACTATACACTACCACACTACTACACTATACACGACTACACTATACACTACTACAATACTATACACTATACACTACTACACTATACACTACTACACTATACACTACTATACACTACCACACATTACTACACTATACACAACTACACAGACTGTTGCTCTTCCTAGGGAATTCCCAGGCGTTCCCAGGCCAGCCGAGCGACAAAGTCCAATAAGCGTGTCCTAGACCGGCCCCGGGGTCTCCTTTTTAAAAAATAATAATTTCAAATTAAATCTGCTTATCTGCGGCACACAGCACGCTCCCATCTAATTGTGGCACAGACTAAGTAGTGACGGTGTCAGCAGCAACGCCGCGTGAAAGCAGTGGAGTGACACCGGTGGTAGAAACATGGGGCAACAGCCGAAGCAGCACCATCTGTAGATCATTTTTTATTGATGATATTGATGTAGTTTATATTTTAGTTTTTTACGTGGTGGTTTGACTGTTGCAGCTCCTTACTATTCAAATTCCTTCCCTTTATTACTGCTAACTCTACCTCCTCCCTTTGTTGCTGCTAATCCTACATAATGCACGGGCATAATATGACTTTGAGACCCCCCCCCCCCATCTCCTACGCATTCCACAAGTAGTGACTAATCCCAAATCTGCATTTTCCATAAATATGCTAAATTCCTCTGTTGATAATCAAATTCCTTTGTCAAGGCGCTCTTCCCCCTCTAACCCAGCAGCTTAAATATACGCTACCAAGCCTGGCGGTGTTCATTCAGACGCTGTCTTCTCGACAGACCTGTTCTTCACCTGAGGACGGCTGCTTGCGTTGTGGCCGAAACGTCGTGAGAATTGTAGTTTATAATGTTTTATGTTTATTATTTTATTATTTCCCTTCTACGTCACTTTACCGAGTGGCAGCACAATAAAAGCTGGAACAGCGCACGAGAGAATGCGGCCAGGTACTCATTTGAGGCTGAGTCGACCTAGGGGAGGCCCAGGACCGATTCAGATTTCTGCTTTCAGATGCGCTTCTGCGCCCGTCTGGAACGTTCTTCCTTCTGATATTAGGAAGTCACTGGAGCTATGCACTTTAAAATCAGCATCTAGATTGATACAATAATTTCTTTAGAACTGCTTTGTGTGTTTAGTTTGTTGCCCTCCCCCTGCACCTCACATTAGCGCGGTTGGCTACGTGCAGTGCTAAAGAAGTACATACCAGTGGCGGCTCCTGCAAAATCTCTCAGGGGAGGCAAATGTCTGGATGATTGATAAGGATAAGGTCCACCCATGCAATGGATAAATTAACAGCTTAAGCATGTAAAGGCAACTTCACTTATTTAATATTAATGAAAAATAAAGTGACTCTTACAATACATCTTGTTTGTTTCTATACTCACTATTAAAACAAACCACTCAAGTTTATTTTATTAAAGATTCCACTAGGTGGCCACAAATTATATTATTGGATGAAACGTGCTTACGTATGATGACGTAAGCACGTTAGGGCGAGCCCTCCCGGAAGCCATAGAGAATGCATTGCAGCGCCCCCGTTCGAAAAAAAACATCTTTGAATGTAAGTCTATGGGGCCACTCGGGGCGATTCTCAGCCGGAGTGAAATCGCCCAAAAAGAGGCGGTACTCCACAGAACGTGACATGACGCTGATTGGACTATATCCAGAGGCTGCAGTGACGGCTAGCGTGACTCTGTGGTTGAGATTGGTGGTGCGTCGCCCAATCGCCCTAATGAAGAAACCGCCCCTGGTACATATGTACATTACACAGAGACCCACAGACACCCGGACCCATGAGGACCCACAGAGACCCACGGAGACACCCACAGATTTGCAAAGTTGGCTACGTACGGCGCCAAAGAAGTTCATACAATCCAGCAGTGGATGGATGATGGCCAATGATGTTAACGGTCAAATCGCTCCCTTTGCGTGTGGAGGCACCGGTCCAGCAGTGGATGGGTCAGGGACACGAACGGACTGCATGGAATGTGATTTTGCTAATAGGGGGTTTCCCCCTTTTTCTGGCAACAAAACTGACACATTTTGCAAAGAAATTTGTCTCTGAAAAAAAAACAAGAGCGATAAAGAAAGCTGTCTCTGGTGTGGACCAATCAGTTTCAAAGACAATGCTAATCCTACATAATGCACGGGCATAATATTACTTTGAGACCTCCCCCCACCATCTCCTACGCATTCCACAAGTAGTGACTAATCCCATATCTGCATTTTCCATAAATATGCTAAATTCCTCTGTTGATATGCAAATTCCTTTGTCAAAGCGCCCTTCCCCCTCCAACCCAGCTTAAATATACGCTGCCAAGCTTGGTGGTGTGTCATTCAGACGCTGTCTTCCCGACAGACCTGTTCTTCACCTGAGGACGGCTGCTTGCGTTGTGGCCGAAACGTCGTGAGAATTGTATTTTATTATGTTTTATTTTTATTATTTTATTATTTCCCTTCTACGTGACTTTACCGAGTAGCAACACGATGAAGGCTGGAACAGCGCACGAGAGAATGGCGGCCAGGTACTCATTTGAGGCTGAGTCGACTTAGGGGAGGCCCAGGACCGATTCAGATTTCTACTTTCAGATGCGCTTCTGCGCCCGTCTGGAACGTTCTTCCTTCTGATATTAGGAAGCCACTGGAGCTATGATCTGTGTGTGGTCTGTGTGTGGGGGGCGTGGGCGAGTGGGTGGGCAACTCCCGGCACCGCGCCGATCACCGCGCCGATCACCACACCGATCACCACGCCGATCACCGCACCGATCACCACGCCGATCACCACGCCGATCACCACACCGATCACCACACCGATCACCGCGCCGATCACCACACCGATCACCGCGCCGATCACCGCACCGATCACCACGCCGATCACCACACCGATCACCACACCGATCACCACACCGATCACCACACCGATCACCGCGCCGATCACCACGCCGATCACCACACCGATCACCGCACCGATCACCGCGCCGATCACCACGCCGATCACCGCGCCGATCACCACGCCGATCACCACACCGATCACCACGCCGATCACCACACCGATCACCGCGCCGATCACCACGCCGATCACCACACCGATCACCGCGCCGATCACCACGCCGATCACCACACCGATCACCACGCCGATCACCACACCGATCACCGCACCGATCACCACGCCGATCACCACGCCGATCACCACACCGATCACCACGCCGATCACCACACCGATCACCACGCCGATCACCGCACCGATCACCACGCCGATCACCGCACCGATCACCGCACCGATCACCGCACCGATCACCACGCCGATCACCACACCGATCACCGCACCGATCACCACGCCGATCACCACACCGATCACCGCGCCGATCACCGCGCGCATCAAGGCGACACACACAAAACGACGATCCGATCTCAGACTCTCAGGAAGGAGGTCTGCTGTAGATTTGCACCGACCTTATTTATTTATTATTACAGTACATACAGTACATACAGTACAGTACTGTACAGCCCCCCCCCCGACTTGCACACACGGGAGAGGCTGCAGCTCCTGTGGAAAGAGCCACCACCACGTGGTGGATTCAGTGGGGGGTGAGGGAGAGAGGAGAGGGCCGGGAAGGAGGGGAGGGGAGTGGAATTGGAGGTGAAATGGGAGTGGAATTGGAGGTGAAATTGGAGGTGAAATGGGAGTGGAATTGGAGGTGAAATTGGAGGTGAAATGGGAGTGGAATTGGAGGTGAAATTGGAGGTGAAATGGGAGTGGAATTGGAGGTGAAATTGGAGGTGAAATGGGAGTTGAATTGGAGGTGAAATTGGAGGTGAAATGGGAGTGGAATGGGAGTGGATTTGGAGGTGATTTGGAGGTGAAATTGGAGTGAAATGGGAGTGGAATTGGAGGTGAAATGGGAATCGAATGGGAGGTGAATTGGAGGTGAAATGGGAGGTGAAATGGGAGAGAAATTGAGGTGAAATGGAAGTGGAATTGGAGGTGAAATGGGAGTGGAATTGGAGGTGAAATGGGAGTGGAATTGGAGGTGAAATGGAGGCGAAATGGAATTGGAGGTGAAATGGAGGTGAAATGGGAGGTGAATTGGAGGTGAAATGGAATTGGAGGTGGAATGGGAGTGAAATTGGAGGTGAAATGGGAGTGAAATTGGAGGTGAAATGGGAGTGAAATTGGAGGTGAAATGGAGGTGAAATGAGAGTGGAATGTGAGTGGATTTGGAGGTGAAATGGGAGTGGATCCACGAGCTTAAGGAGCTGTCGAGTGAAGCCTCCCCGAGCTCTTGGCAAAGCTCTGGAGGCGTTCACGAAATGAGCGGCACTGGGTGGGTGGGGAGCGGTGGCGCAGCGGTTAGCGCGCTTTGTGCGTGTGCGACTAAGGGGATATGTCTGTGTGTGCGTGAGTGTGTGCGTGTGTGTGGGAGAGTGTGTGGGTGTGTATGTGGGTGTGTGTGTCAGTGTGTTCGTGAATGTGTGTGAGTGTGGGGGTGAGTGTGTCAGGGTGTGAGTGTGTCAGTGTGGGGGTGGGTGAGTGTGTCAGTGTGTGGGTGAGTGTGTGTGAGTGTGGGGGTGAGTGTGTGGGTGGGTGTGTGAGTGTGTGGGTGAGTGAGTGTGTTAGTGTGTGGGTGAGTGTGTCAGCGCGGGGGTGTTTCAGTGTGTGTCAGTGTGTCATTGTGAGGGTGAGTGAGTGTGTGGGTGAGTGTGTCAGTGAGTGTGTCGGTGTGAGGGTGGGTGAGTGTGTCAGTGTGTGAGTGTGTCAGTGTGGGTGTGAGTGTGTCAGTGTGTGTGAGTGAGCGGAGCACTGGGCAGCCAAAACACAGCGAGTTGGGACAGTAGGGGCCACAGTCTTCTTGGTCGGTGAACCCACGGCACCAGCTGGGTCTGTCCCGTGACCTCCTGCACCTAGCCTGGCACAGCAGTCAACCCATGGCACCAGCTGGGTCTGTCCCGTGACCTCCTGCACCTAGCCTGGCACAGCAGTCAACCCATAGCACCAGCTGTGTCTGTCCCGTGACCTCCTCTTGCCAGCAAGCCTTTGACAGTTCACATGGCCGTAAAGTGCACTTAGCCTGGCACAAGCACCGTGGTGACGTCACCGCCACTCTGTGGCGAATGGCGGTTGTTGTGGGCGAGTGAGTGTGTGTGTGGGTGTGAGTGAGTGTGTTGGGTGAGCGTGTAGGTGGGTAAGTGTGGTGGGTGAGTGTGTGTGTGTGTGAGTGTGGTGGGTGAGTGTGTGTGGTGGGTGTGTGTGGTGGGTGAGCGTGTAGGTGGGTGAGCGTGTGGTGGGTGAGCGTGTAGGTGGGTGTGTGTGTGTAGGTGTGTGTGTGTGTAGGTGTGTGTGTGTGTAGGTGTGTGTGTGTGTAGGTGTGTGTGAGTGTGTAGGTGTGTGTGTGTGAGTGTGTAGGTGTGTGTGTGTAGTGTGTAGGTGTGTGTGTAGGTGTGTGTGTAGGTGTGTGTGTGTAGGTGTGTGAGTGTGTAGGTGTGTGTTTGTAGGTGTGTGAGTGTGTAGGTGTGTGTGTGTAGGTGTGTGTGTGTGTGAGCGTGTGTGTGTAGGTGTGTGAGTGTGTGTAGGTGTGTGTGTGCGAGCGTGTGTGTGTGAGCGTGTGTGTGTGTGTAGGTGTGTGTGTGTAGGCGTGTGTGTGTGCGAGCGTGTGTGTGTGTGAGCGTGTGTGTGTGTGTAGGTGTGTGTGTGTAGGCGTGTGTGTGTGCGTGTGTGTGCGCTGCGTCTAATCCTCTTGCTTTGCCTTGGCCTTCTGCTCTTGGTCGAATCTGGAGGCACACACAACACACCATTGATCATCCCCCTATTGATCACAACAATTAAATCACCAATATTCATTCGTTGGTTTCTCAATCCGCATGCTGAGTAGGGCGGTCCAGACCTCCCTTTCCCTATCGACAGATTGTAAAGCAGGCGTTCCCAGGCCAGCCGAGGGACATCGTCCCACCAGTGTGTCCAGGGCCGGCCCCAGGGTTTTCGCCCAGTGGGAAGCGTCGTCCCGTAGAGTTCCAGGGGGAGGCATCATCATCACCAGGTGCCTGAACCACCTGAACTGTCTCCCTCTCAATGCGGAGGAGCAGTGGCTCTGAGACTTACCGAGCTCTTTGACCGATCACGGAGAGTGGTGAGCCCAGGATCTCGTAATTGCGATCTCATCCTTTTGTTCACTATGGGAACCTCATTTGCCAGTAAAAATATGATAATTGGTTTTTTACCCTTCTATCTGGCAACAAAACTGAAACCTTTTTATAAGGAGTCATGTTTACATAGACCGCAATACCTGCAGTCATAATACAAACAAAAGAACATAACTCTGATAATGTATGCACTGTCCTTGAAGTTGATTGGTCCACACCCGAGACAGCTTTCCTTAGAGCCTAGTCTCACATGGTGTTGGACCAGATGACGCCAAAAGGCTCAGCACCTCATCTGGTCCAACCCTGTATCAAGTGAAACGTCGTTATTTTTATTTTATTTTAATTTTACTTTTATTAATTTAAAATTTTTTACCTACGTGACTTTACCGAAAAAACCTAAGAATATGAACCCTCGGTGGAGTCCAACACCCACAGCGAACGACTTTGATTTGACACCAAGAATACGGACACGGCTCTCACTCCCGGAATAGAGGGACCGGTTTGCACCCAAAAGCAACACCGGTACATCGTACTGCTGCAAGATATTGTGGGGAACCCGGTAAACAGGCTTTCTCCAACTCAATAACATCTCACCGCTCCGGTTCAGATAAGGGGGGCCATTCCTCACAATCACGCCTCTTCAGGCATCTCCATCGCTTCCCACATCAGCATTGACGTCGCCCAGTAAGACTGCGGAGTCGGTAGGCGGCACGCTATCAAGCACTACACCCACCGACTCCAAGAAGCATGAACACTCTGAACTGCTGTTTGGTGCATAAGCACAGACAGCAGTCAGAGTTTCCCTTTTTGAGACCCCAAGTCTCATTGAGGTCAACCTCTCACCCACCGGGACAATCTCCAGCTGAACATCACCCAGCCGGGGGCTTGTGGGTATCCCCACACCCGCCCGGGGCCTGTCACCAGGGGCTACTCCACAATAGGAGAGACATCACACCCCCGATGGAGACGTTTGGTTCCTGTGCAATGTTCTCGAAGTAGACGGAGACTTCTTAGAGGCCACACGCTTTCATTCACTAACAGCTAGACATCTTGACACACTGGGGAATGGCCCCTTTACCACAACCTAGGGAGGTACAGCCTCCGGGCTATTCGAACCACACTCCCTACTCAAGCCCTCCGGCTCTCTAGCCCAGGGGAGGCTAACCCACACTGGCACATGCTCAGCCCGGCCCTGTCGGAGGACATCGGCGGCTTGGGGTCCAGGGTCTTCCGGCGGTTTCTTGCTTCAGCTTGAGATGGACTGACTCCCGCTCTCCGAGAGCCGTCTTATATAGCCCCCCTCTCTGTGAGGGGCGGGGGTTCTGGGGGCCCCGGCTCTCGCCAGCCCCCTCCCCTCAGAGCGGTTCCAACCGCCTCTTGCCCGACCGGTTCGGACCGGTTCAGACCGGTACCTACCGCTCCCCTAGGTTGTGGCGCGTGTGTCTATCTTGACCACCACACCTGTGCCAACGCTGTGTGTGGAGGTCGCTACATTTCCACCTCCTCCACCAGCGCCGACTCCTTCCTCCGCAGTGACATTTCATGTCCCAATAGCGAGTGTCCACCGCCAAGGTCCAGTTCATGTGAGAACGACCCTCCCTCCCGCAGCCACGCCGCCATCGCTCGTGCCCCTCGTGGCTCGCCGGGTAACCTGGCGCTTGCCGCCGGCAAACACCACCCCCCAGTTGTAGATTTGAAGCTTTCGTGACTGCAAGGATTCACACTCTTGGTTCTTTCGGTAAAGTCATCGTGTAGGTAAAAAATTAAATTAAAATTAATAAAAAAAATAACATCACGACGTTTTGGAGGCAACATAAGCTTCTGTCTTCAGGTGAAACCGTCACAGTAAAACATCTGTACCAAGTGGAGAGAAGTCCCAAGAGTTAATTTTGGAGCTTTCGTGACAGAGACGACCTCTCTCTGTGTGCCGATACGTGTTCTCTCTCTCTCTGTGTGTCTTTGTGATGTCTGTCTGCTTATATGTCTGTCTGTAGTTTTCTGGTTAGATTTGTGTTGCCATTTCTTTTATACCTGATGACGATGATTGCTTGTGTTGCAATCAAAACGTCGTAGTATGCTATTGATCGACGCTATTGATCGACGCTATTGATCGTCGCTATTGATCGTCTCTGACCTCCAAATGCGGAAGAGCTGCGTGCCGCCAGCGAACGCGAGGAAGAGGTTGACGGCGAAGAGGTTGTAGTTGACTGGGGTGATGACGAGAGAGTAGCGAGACCACACCGTGCCTAGTGGGGAGGGAGGGGAGAGAGAGAGGGGAGAGTGGGGAGAGAGTGGGGAGAGAGTCAGGGGAGAGTCAGGGGAGAGTAGTGAGACCACACCGTGCCTAGTGGGGAGGGAGGGGGAGAGAGAGGAGAGAGTGGGGAGAGAGTGGGGAGAGTGAGGGGAGAGAGAGTGGGGAGAGAGTCAGGGGAGAGTAGCGAGACCACACTGTGCCTAGTGGGGAGGGAGGGGGGAGAGAGGGGAGAGTGGGGAGAGAGTGGGGAGAGAGTCAGGGGAGAGTCAGGGGAGAGTAGCGAGACCACACTGTGCCTAGCGGGGAGGGAGGGGAGAGAGAGGGGAGAGTGAGGGGAGAGAGAGGGGAGAGTGAGGGGAGACAGTGAGGGGAGAGAGAGTGGGGAGAGAGTCAGGGGAGAGAGTCAGGGGAGAGTAGCGAGACCACACTGTGCCTAGTGGGGAGGGAGGGGGGAGAGAGGGGAGAGTGGGGAGAGAGTGGGGAGAGAGTCAGGGGAGAGTCAGGGGAGAGTAGCGAGACCACACTGTGCCTAGCGGGGAGGGAGGGGAGAGAGAGGGGAGAGTGAGGGGAGAGAGAGGGGAGAGTGAGGGGAGAGTGAGGGGAGAGTGAGGGGAGAGTGAGGGGAGAGAGAGTGGGGAGAGAGTCAGGGGAGAGAGTCAGGGGAGAGTAGCGAGACCACACCGTGCCTAGCGGGGAGGGAGAGTGAGGGGAGAGTGAGGGGAGAGAGTGGGGAGAGAGTAGTGGAACCAGACCGTACCTAGCAGGAAGAGGGGGGAGGGGAGGTTGTTGTTGGCTGGGATGACCCCAGCTCGTGCCACACGTCCACCTACTCATCCACCACCTCCACCTCTACCCCAGCCCGTGTCACTCACCCTCCCACTCATCGTCCACCTCCACCTCTACCCCAGCACGTGCCACTCACCCTCCCACTCATCCACCACCTCCACCTCTACCCCAGCCCGTGCCACTCACCCTCCCACTCATCCACCACCTCCACCTCTACCCCAGCACGTGCCACTCACCCTCCCACTCATCCACCACCTCCACCTCTACCCCGTGTCACTCACCCTCCCACTCATCCACCACCTCCACCTCTACCCCAGCCCGTGCCACTCACCCTCCCACTCATCCACCACCTCCACCTCTACCCCAGCCCGTGCCACTCACCCTCCCACTCATCCGTCACCTCCACCTCTACCCCAGCCCGTGTCACTCACCCTCCCACTCATCCACCACCTCCACCTCTACCCCAGCCCGTGCCACACGTCCACCCACTCATCCACCACCTCCACCTCTACCCCAGCCCGTGCCGTGCCCCGTTCAGCCCCCCTCTCTATATTCCGGCTAAACAACAGAAGCCGCTTTGGGGCATGCGGTGGCTGGGTGTTCAAGTCCAAGTTAATTGATTAGGTGTAGCCCTGTGAGCCATTCGGCTCTTGAATCGGGTTCAACCGCAACAAACAGAAACATGAACAAGAAACATCTTAAAGTGAATATGTGACTGAGTGCAAACAGAAAATCCAAGAAAAGACAGCAAAATATTGCAGAAAAAAATCACCGTACACCAACGCTGTGTGGAAACATCCCAGTGGGATGCAAGTCAAACAACAACAACAACCACAAGACAACTTGGATTAAGGCCATCAGTCTTCTTGGTTCTTTCGGTAAAGTCACGTAGAATGGAAAAAAAAAACATTTATTTTTTATTTTCATTACTTTATTATTTCCATTCTACGTGCCTTAAATTTCGATTTAAAGCTTTCGTGACTGCAGGGATTCATCTTCTTGGTTCTTTCGGTAAAGTCACGTAGAAAGGAAGTAATAAAAAATAAAACATAATAAAATAATTTTATTAGAATTTCTATTATTTTATTATTTCCATTCTACGTGACTTTACCGAAAGAACCAAGAAGATCAATCCCTGCAGTCACGAAAGCTTTCAATCCAAATGTAAGGCCATCAGTCTTACTCTGCACTACTACCACCAGGTCTGGCCCAGCGGCTAGACCTTCTCGCCTTGTCGGGCAGGAGCTCACCGCACGGTGGCGGGGCGCCTGTTTCCAGACCTCTCCACAGGACACGCCACTCGCACCAAGCTCACGCGACTGGACTGGGGCAAGGGCGAGCGACTTTCACAATCACCCCCCCCTCCACCCCGCGACCCGCTCGCTCGCAGTGCACGGATACGTCAAGTCGGGACGTCGCACGAGCCCCATGTGGATCCGCTCAGAGCAAAACGGATCACAAACACGACTTGTTTACGGGCAAATTCG